TCAGGAATCATAAACGGAGCAGTAAACCCAAGTTCCATTTAAAACTATATTTAATTATCAATTCATCTTGTGTACACATGGCTGTTTTATGGTAGAGATAGTAGGAATGAGTCGTTATTGTTTATTAGATCATTTCTGAGACAATTTATCATCCAGCAAAATTTGTTATCGTGACAAGACTAACGTCTCCTAAAACAACCTGTAGTTCTGTGAGATTCAGTCCAGATAAATCCCAGCAGAATGTTGCCTTTAAGCCATTTAAACCAGTGACCTTGTGATATTACCTTGCTGTTTTTCTTTTCGTTTCCTCTAAAGCCCCTCTGCCCGCCCTCCCTCWCCACTAATGTCCTCATCCCACTCTRTATCTCACAGCAACAGCGCCGTTGTCTCCGGACGGTAAAAAATAGCCAGAGTCTGTTGAATCAATGGGCCCTCTTTCCTTCTCCCCGTGAACAGCTATCTGCGCCGCCTTGTCGAGGCACGATAGCTTTTTGACTCCTGCGTTGCGCGGGCAGAGTGCTTTCACTGAGTGGGTGGCAGTTAGACACAGTATCTGCTATTGGCAGGGAAATGGCAGCTTTGTCAGCTGTAAGAGCTGTTCGAGCCACCAGCCTGCTGATACCAGCCCCACACCCTCCCCTCTGCATGCCTTTCACTCCCTGTCCCTTTGAACATTCTGGCTCTCAGTGGGATCTCCACGGTTCATCCGACTATTTCTGAACATCCACACAAAGAAACGGTAAACAGGCTCCTTGAAGCAGACACCTTTATAACGGGCAAAAATCACCATCAGCGACACACTATCTCATTTTCTTTGAAACTCCTTCTTTGAATGATCAGGACGTTTATTTTCCCCCMAAATCTCATAATGCAACAATCTGACGTATCCCCAAAGCATTCAGCTAAATCTGATGGCTGAAGGCTAAAGGTAGCATGTGTCACTGACAGACAGACAAACGATCAAAGGAGGAAGATGGCAGCAACAACCCAAAACAGCTCTCTTTGATAAAATCAGTACGACACAGCACTGTGTAAGGTAGACTTCCAACAGCATTACAGACAGAAACACCTGTTAAAACGAGGAATGTGCGATATGGCAAAAAATTCATTTCACGATATACATTATGATGAGTGGCGGTAACGATATATATCACGATATAAAACTTATAATAGAANCAAATTTGAATACAATAACTTCAATTTACTTTCTGTCTGATTGTGTTTTATTCACACACACGGGCTCCATAGCCGAACCTATCTGAGTGCCTATATTATTATATTTGGCTGTAGTCAGGCGCCTAGCCTTAATTAGCGTTACACTAGTTAAAACCACTCAGTCAGGTGGATTTTTCTGTTTAATGCAGTGGCTCCTCAACTTTTCCTGCCACTCACACTTTAAAAGGAACAAACATTTGCACACATGCAGTTATTTGTAAAAAAAAACTAGTTATACTTTTAGGGCCATAAAGTAAGAAAAAAGTAAATAAATAAGAACCACTGCTTTGATATAAAGCCATGGTTACTTCCGAATAAAAAAATAAAGGTAAAGAAATCAGTTTTGAGAGTTCGTACCCAGCTCTCCGGCCGCCTTGATGTCGATGTTGTCGTATCCGCTGCCGATGCGGATGATGATGCGCAGTGCCTTGAACTTCTCCAGGTCCTCTCTGGTCAGGGTGATGGTGTGGTACATCATGGCGCCCACTGCCTCGTTTAGCACCTGCAACACACGCAAAGTCGCAAAAAAAAAAAATCAACAGAGATATTTCTACTGCTAAAAGATCGCTCTGCATTCTCATCTTTTTTTTCTTACATTTTGTACTTTGTCACTTAGGGCAGTGGTGGTGGTGGGGGGGGACCAGAGAACACAGGGGGGGATTATAACCTTGTCTGCACAGAGGTTGTGAAAATATCAATTTATTATTTGTATATAAAGCTTATCGCAACAAGTCCATTTGAATAATAATTAAAACTCTGTATAACTCGGTTCTTTTCGTCCTTTTCAAAATAAAAGTTTGTAACTATTCACTTGAGTAGGAAAGGGGGGCTTTGAGGATGAAACTAGGTTGGAAAACACCAACTTAGGACACATCGGTAGRGGTCGACCGCTATATCAGCCAGCCAATATTTGTGTTTTTTTTTCTTGTATCGACATCAGCCGCTACGTGCATGAGTTCACCGAAACAATCAAAACGATCAATCTTAAGTTAGGATTGTTWGTTTTTATTGTTATATATTTAAATGTTTTACATGTTTTGCTATCAACTGTTAATATGTTTTGTTTGTTTTGGTGATAAATGTTTATTTCTATGTTTAAACTGAGACTTGTGTAGCATTTGTTAGTTTTATCATGTAAATGGAGAAAAAAACAATATCGGCTTCAAGAATCGGCAGCACAAATCGGTTAGACTGATCGGTTATCAGCATCGGCCTTAAAACCTGTATCAGTCAATCTCCACACAATAGTTATACACTACTACCAGATGTGYCAAAAGTATTGACAGTTATTAAATAGAAGTATAGATACAAGGGTTTAAAATGACCTTTTTTTAGAAGGAAATCAACTTAAAAGTGTAAAAGTAGTTTTAAAACTATGTAAAATTTAAGAATAAAAGTAATGCAAAGAAGAAAAAAAACATGACAGACAAAAGTTTAGGCAGCACCACAGAGGTCTATAGTTACAACCGCAGCTCCCCAAAACCATTTTTCTAAAAGGTCATAATGATTATAAAATATGATAAAATGTTAAAATGTAGAATGCACTAGACTACCTGTTCCAAATGCATATACTGTATATCTGCTATGGTCATCTTTATACGAGGCTGTATTTGTCTGATATGTCCTGCTGGAGTGTGATAAATGAGTGAAAATGTAAGGAGCAGAAGTAAAAATTTGGCTGAAAAATAATTACTCCAGTTAAGTATAGATGAACAAAATCTCTACTTAAGTAAAGTAATAAAGAATTTGAACTTCATTACTTGACACTGGTTATTACAAGAATAAAACAGTGGACACTGAAAACATCCTGGTTATCCATGTAGGTGTTAAGGTATTAACTCTCATTTGACCAAAACCTTTTTTTCTGAGGAGGATCATTGGTAATGCTTTCTTTTACGGTACCCTTATTACCATGTAATTACAAGCTAATAAAAAATGCAATTAAATTGTAATTACTACCTTATTACCATGTAATTACGTGGCAATTAGAGTACAAAAACTACTGTTAGTAAAACTACACTTATTGGGTAACTACAATCAAATTACTATTCAATAGTAACTCAACACTATATTTATAACCAAAAGAATGCAACTAAATTTTGGGGTTAGTGGTTAATTGCAATAAAATATAACTTTAGAACTGTCCAAATTACCTACTACTTATTTTTACATAGTGAATTGTAATACATTACCAGGTAAGTGCTACATTACTGCAGACAATTAATTACATAGTAAAATTGTACCCTAATTACCATGTAATTACATAGTAATAAGGTAGTAATTACCATTTAATTATACTTTTTTTACCTTGTAATTACATGGTAATAAGGGTCCGTAAAAGAAAGCGTTACCTAATTGGGTAACGCTTGTTCTGGTTGTCCTACGACAAACATCGGGAAATCTTTGCCCTGTCCAACCTCCCTCCATAAGGAGACATTGGACATTTAGCCAAAATGGACCAGTAGACGGGGCTACAGGTGGGAGGGGCAGACAAAACGCTAGAGCTCAGTGAGGCTGGGTGTTCTGGGACTTGTAGAGAAGAGAGGAGGTATTTGTGTGTGTGTGCGTGCGTGTGTGTGTGTGTGTGTGTGTGTGGACAGAGAGCTAAGGTAGCTTGTGAGAGGAGAGCATCTGTTGGCTCCAAAGACACACAAACAGCAGTAAAACACGTTGCAGAAAGGGAAGGACCAAATCTAGAATATGTGCTTCTGTCTATGCTCAGACCCAGATGTTTCTGAGAGGATGTATTTTGGTGTTTTAGAAGTTGGAAATAGCTCTATGCACAAAATAAGTTGTCTTAGAGCAGTTATTTGGTCAGATTTGCTTTAAAATGACTCAAATCTGTTCATCTTAAAGCAGGCAATCAAATTAAATTCAGCAATTTTGAGCTGAAACAGTTTGTTTGAGGCAACCGTGTGGTGGCGCTGTCGAGTCTGACTCAGCTTTCCTTACACTTTTAACAAACAACAAAGAAAGTCGTGCTAAATACCATTCCAAGCTGTAAACACTGCCACCTCCAGAGATCCTGTGCTGAGAGAGATCGGCAGGTCCTCAATGTGACCCGGTCCTGTGATTCATTGTGATGAGGATCTAAACTACTACCCCCAACACACACATCCCTCAGTACGAGCCGAGGCCCGTGTCAGCCGCCTAAATAACAGCTCTTCATTCACCTCTAGCCAAACTGAATTAGCTTCCCTGTGATTAGTAGATTAGCTCCGAATTTCCATATTGCTTTTATTAGCACCGTGTCCTGGACAGGCCTTCCAGATACTAGTTCAAGGTTAAAACACTCCTCATGCACAGGAAAGCGCACGTACGCACACACCTTTCACCCTCTGCGCTGAAGRCTGAAAGTCTTCTGCTACTGTTGAGCTTAAGAAGGAGAAATTTGTAGCTYATTTCAACGGAAACTATGACGATGCACGTGTGCAGTTCTCCACAAGCCTTCAGCAGCATGTGAAGATGCTTGAATTGGATGTTAATAACGTGTTTAATTCTGGTTTGCTAGAAAAGGGTTTTATGTTTAAAAAGTCGTTTCTGCAGGGAACAGAATGGACATAATGTGGCTGAGAGCTGGTAGGAAAAGCCTTAAAGCTACAGGGCATTTATCGCTTTATAAAAGCAATAAAGAAAACACAAAATACACTGAGTGACAACTGCACACAACAATTAGTGTTATGAAAAGTGAGCTGTGACCTCCTTTTTTTGATTGCACCTTTTAAATCCACTTTAGYGTTCAAGCGGAGATGTGAGCAAGACGGATTTAAAGAAAAAAAAAAGTCTTGTGTTAATGACACTGCACTGAACGTCTTAATAAAAATATCGAGTTAAAAAAAACTCAAGTTATTCTGAAGCTTTTTCTTTTTCATGCAGAGAGACAAGATCTGAACTTTTATAGGAAGAATCTGAAGCTAATGCTAAGAGTTAAAGCTAGTCTGTCCGAAATAGGGGTGCCCAAACCTTTGCACCAGAAAGGGCGGGAATAAAACCGCGGGTCAAATGTAATAATATAATCCATGAAATGCACATACTTTTCAAGTGCTTGTATTTTTTATGACTGAACTAGCAGCCAGTGCAGTGGCCCGTGTTATTTTTTTGTCCGTATTTTCTTTTAGCCCGTGCACTCGCAGAAACTTTGACGCACGCTCAAACAGCAAAGGCTCATGGGACATTTCATAAATTAAAAATAGAATTATTTGTGGTCTTATAAGCTGTGTAAATCCATGTGTGCTTTAATCTAAATGTCTCTCATAGTTACCTGTATTTCATCTTTGACCGTATTATAAATCAAAGATAAAGTAAGCACCATAAGTGAAAACTATCCGTACAACAGCCCTTATATGGTCATTGCGTCAACCAATAGATGTAACTAAGAGGAAATATAGTGTTTCTATATTGGATGACAGGATTGGTGGGCCAATATTGGCCCACAAGCCCCCGTTTTGGGCACCTCTGGTCCAAGATGTAAAAATACTTTCGATTCATTACATCATTTGCTTCCGTTAACAGTGATTTATTACATCCCTCAAACAGACGAGCCGAGTTGGACAGTGCAATAAGCTAATATTGACTCTACGCCATGTGGGCTATCATCCAACCTTTACAAGCCGCATAAAGCAAAGCAATCATTGACTCTGGCTGACGATCACAGGTGCTACATGTTGGATTTGTAATGTAACTAGCTCTGTATTTGCCTTTTGTTTCAGAGAAATACGGGATAATCTGGCAGCGGGCCTGACACAACCAAAGGCCACTTTCATGTCCCACCCTTGGCCAGCCTTTCGTGTAACTTTCTGCCGCGTGAGGTTCTGTTTGTGTGCGGACGAGTGTAGCAGCTGGTGTCGGCCTTGACTACATTATGCCGAAATCCCACAGTTATCAACACTACATCTCTGCATACACGCCTCACAGAAAAGAGATTGGACATTTTCAATCTATAACGCGCCTCTGGGGATGCAGACTGCAGGTTATTACTGTGAACTGCTGAATATGCCGGCGAGGTGAGCATTACAATCATGTTCTTCCTGATAAAGCAGAGTAAAAAAAAAAGACCTCCAAACAAACAAAAAGCTACCCGCTTCCCCACTTCTCTTTGATGCCCAAGGTCTTGATTGAATTGATCTTTATGCAAATGCGAAAACCTTTAAAAGAAAAAAAAAAAAAAACTGGACTTGTATTCTGAAGTTGAAGTCGTTTCGCTTCCCATCCGAGGAGCTTTCTCGATTCAATTTTATTTTTGGGTGTCCTGGATGACTGAGAAGCTACAGCTTTATGCAAATGTCTTCTTTTTAATATGTCCTATTTTCATAAGGAAAAAYGCAGCAGCTCTCTATCCTCAGACAGAGAGATGGGGCTTGGTGATACCCATCTCTTAGACATATATTGTTTTGCAGCAGACGCGCTGCATAAAAAGCAATAAAGAGCCTCTACAAGCCAATGTAATTACACTGCATACCAGCCCTACACGACTCTCTATTAGAACAATGGCGCTGATGCAGGCATCACGCTCTGCGCCACAAAGTCACATTAAATCATAATGAAGCTACTATATTTTAACTGGCGAGCGTGCACGAGGTGTAGCGTGCCTCGCATATCGGTTCTGTGATGGAGGTGGACGTAAGTGAGCGACTCGGCTCATTTCTGATGGAGAGAGACGTGTGTGTGTGTGTGTGTGTGTGTGTGTGTGTGTGTGTGTGTTCTACCTTTTCATGGATTTCCTGTGTGGACTGGGCGTCGCAGAAGGCGACAGTCGCTAAGTCTTTCAGGATGGGCATCTCCACGGTGCAATCCCGTCCATCCAGCAGCGCCACCAGCGGGCGCGGGTGCATCGGCCCGTTCATGATTTGGGGCCGAATACCTAGAGAGTCAAATGGGGGGAAAAAACAAGAAGTTTAAGCTTATTGTTAATATTAGTTTACAAATGGCACTTTTCAAACTCAAGGTTACAATATCCTGAAGGGGATTTGTGATCAATAAATGGAAGTCTGAATAATATAGCAGAAAACCAGTTGAATCTCTTCTAAAATGGCTTTATTCTCATCTCTGTCCAGTCAGCCCCAGCAGCATACAGCAGTCAGGCCTCAGACTAAAATGACCTTCGTCTTATCTGAGAATGAAAAACACAGTCTGTCCCAGGCTGCTCTAAGCCAGAGACTCCACAAAACCTTCTACTCATATAATAATGAATCAGTCTTATAACGTTTGCCTCTTCCTGGTTACACCCCTGGAGGTGTCACTGTTCATGTCGGACGTTAACGTAACTAACGTTTGTTAATGCAGATAGAAAAAAACACATCGATAATTAGGACACACCAGCTCTCATTCCCTGTTTTAAACCTTATGGCTGCAATGATCAGAATATGTTAAAATACAACATTTTACAAAACTTCCTTAAAGGCACAGTGTGTAGGATTTTGTCAATTCTTTTAGCCGAAATTGAGATAATCACTAATGACAATAATAAAAAACATGTCTAATCGTTGCAGACAAAGACCTAGTTTTATTATTTTTACCTAATAAAAAGCTGTTTACATCTCCATGGTCGCGGGTCGCCACTACAGGCAGCCGCCATCTTGTCTACGAAGGCTCATGAAGAACAAACTGCGGTGGCGGCGTCAAAAACGGTTTTAGTTGTAATACTATAAATGTAATATTTGTTGTCTGTCATTGTAGCTGGGATAATTTTACTTATTAAAGCTCATAATCTTACCACTTGAAACATCACTAGCCCTGAAGCTGCTGGTAGACATCRCGGTTGGAATTATCAAAGGTTTTTGACACCTGAGAGACACCGTAGCAACTCCTTTGCGTTTGGAAGCGGGGGTGGGGGGAGGACCAGGGAGGATGATTCAACCACTCAACCACTAGATGTCGCTGAAAACAACAAATCCTACACACTGTGCCTTTAAGTCCATAACGTAAAATAAAAGAGGAAACTGGCAAAAACATCCAGAAAAAATAAAGCAATACTTTTCACTCCATAAATTTTATTTTGTGTGTCATAAGTTGAAAAGTTTAGAGATTATAAACTTAAAGAAGCAGAGAACTGGAGGACGTTGTCAGGAACTTGATTTTGGTGAAATCACCTTTATTGTYGATGTCAGTGTTGTACCAAAGTGCTTTTACAGTTCAGTCAAATATTTGTATCGTTAAAAAATATAGAAAWACAGAAATAAGCTCTAAGAAAAAGACATCAGCTTTAACCGAACCTCAAACTCTGTCTCAAAAGAGATGGGTCTTCAGCAAAGATTTAAAGAAACTGAAGTTTAGTTGAATGTTTGAGGTTTTGTATCGAGCGACCCAAGTGGGAGCATATACTGTATAAATAAAATAAAAAATAAGCACACATACACACAAGACTTGTGTCAGTTCAGAGTCTTAAAAAAGAACCATCATCAGCAAAAGACAACAATAAACATAAAAAAAAATTCTAATATGAACATAAAGAGAAAAATACACCAAATCAAGCAGCGAGAACAAACCATCTAAACCCAGGCCACCTTTGCCTATCTAAGAGATCTGTGCTCCCAATGGGACCTGCCTGGTTAAATAAAAGTTAATGAATAAATAAAACCATCTAAACTAACGAAATTACTTAGAAAACAACCTGTAAGCTACGCCTCAGCTCTGGTGCATTATTCTTTTTGTTGGAAAATAAAAGAGTCAGCTGTGAGCACATGCGCACCTGAGTTGATTAGAACGTAGCAGGAAACACGGCTAACAAGACTTGCTCAATAAATCAATGCGACTACTCAAGATGGGATTAGATTTACAGGAACCCTGTCAGCATTACGGCTCCAAAACACCTGCATCACACACTGCCTTCAATATACACAATATTACAGCTTTTTATGCACTTGACTCGATCACACAAAAAGGAAAAACGATCATCTTGTGCGAGGGTGACAGCTACATGCTGACACAGTCGAGCATTCCTCGGTTCAAAAAGCGTGGTTTCTACTTTCACCTCGGTGAGTGGAACCGGCAGCCACAGAGGGAAAGAAAAGAAAAGAAATGGGGGGAAAAAAAGTGCAATCATCAGAACGGAGTTTCATTCCTGCCCTGCCTTAAAAGAGCAATGCATCATTGAAATGGAGAATGTTAGAGAGAAAAACGCTACAAGCCTGAAACAAACCCACAGCCAATTCACATCTGCGCCGAAGCGCTTGACAAAGCACGTGTCGCCTCCCTGGCTCAGCCTCCTCCTTATTTCCTCTCGCCACTTTTCTCACTTAGAGTGAAGAGAGCCGAGAAGAGCCCAGCTCCCCGGAGGCTCGACCTTCTCGCACATTTTTGTCGAAGCCGGCGTGTTGCGCCGAGAGGATGGACAATTACCAGCCCCTGCTTCATACAATGTTAACAAGTGAGGAGGAGAAATGTTCCTGCTGGTTCCCAAATTGCCTCATGTGCAGTACATGGGAGGGAAAGATGCCGTTCCTTCATATTTGAGCTGCAATAATCATGATTATTATCATAGTTAGCAGTCTGTAAAAGTCCTTCCAAGAACACCCACTCTGTTTATGACATCAAAACCATCGGCTGCTAAAGGCTATTGTTTTCACCTACGTCTATGTGCTAGTCATGTCTCTGTAGTGTTAGTAAAATATCTCATTAACCACTAAAGGCTGCGTCACACTGTAAGATTTTAAAACAGTCGGACGATTTTCAAAGACATAAGAGAGAGATAAAAAGTCATGGACATACCAGGTTTGGTCCTACAGTGTGGGGTGTACAGCCACACGGCAAGAGAGAACTCACCACACACGAAAAGATGTCATTTATGAACATTCAGATGTCAGATATGAAATCACGCGAGAATTCTTGAAATCTCGTGAGAATTCAGACGCTAGAGGAAAAGTCTCACGTGACCTCCAGAGAGGCGTGATTTCAGAGTAAATAAACATTTGTGACGAGGAAGAAACATTGTTGATCGTTTGTGGACTATTTTTTACCAGAGGAAACACAATTCCATAGGACTTTTAACATCCAGCGGACTTTCTGGTGAGTAATGACAGTCTTTTTGTGTTCTGTATTTTGGATTCTCCTCCGTGTTTACGTCACTTCGCTTTCTTATTGGCTACACGTCTCATTCAGCAGGCTGTTTGTTCTCGGGCGAACTCCACACACGCTGCGATATCGGGCCAAAAAAAAAAATCAAACATGTTGAATATCCCCTCGATTTGAGGTCGGAGCGGACCAGACGTCCTTCCAAACCGACTAGATCACTCTTAACTGCTATGATTATCTTTAGAGCCATCACGATAATCTGGASGCCCTTAAGATTGTCAGAAGGGCTGAAATTCAGCAGAATTATCCTGCCGTGTGACGCAGCCCTTAACAGATTCTAATGAAACACTTAAAGTAATTATTAGATGATCTATGTCATATCAACTTTGGAGTCAACCCAGTTCAAAATGGCTGCCACAGGTATTCAAACTTACRTGGGGCACCATGTGTAAAATAAAACATTAAAATACACTGTCTAGCCAAAAAACAAAAGTCACCACCCAAAAAAATAAATAAATAAAAAAGGTCACACACTAATATTTTGTTAGACTGCTTTTAAGCTTCTGCAATGTCACAAGATTTTTTTTCCACTCTTTCACAATTCAAGCCCGATGAATCCTGTCATCTGGATTTGGTGACAATGTCATGATGTTGCGATGCCATTTTTAACTAGGATTTTACACTCAGAAAGTGAGCTAAAGAATGAAAATGTGTGGGGGTTTTTTTACACTTAGCACCTCATAACTTTAGCCAGCACAAAAATAGCTATAACCCAGTGAATTTACTGAGCCAACGTTTGGTGTTCTAGCTGAGAGTCATTCATTACACACACGCTGCTCGCTGTTGGTTCTGAATGCCTACAGGTGACCTCAGTCTGTGTGTGTGTATCGGTCTACGTGCATCTGTGTGCTCCTAAAGTTATCCACAAGATTACAATGACGTCAGAATCTGTGGCACTGATAGGAGGAGAGGAGAGGAGGGAGGGCTCACTGGGTCAATCCTCAGAAGGATTACATCAGAGGAGGCTGATTACGACAGATAACAGCCAGATTAGAAGGTCCATGAAAGAAAGTTGTGTGGGGCTAAAATACATGGAGATGAGAGGAGGAGGAGGAAGGAATTTAAACTGTAAAAGCAGTGCGCTTGAAGACGAAATAAGTTACTTTAAAATGTTCTCAGGAGATAATTTAGAGCAGTGTTTCCCAACGTTGGGGTCGGGACCCAAAGTGGGGTCCCGAAACATCAAAGTGGGGTCCTGAAAAGATTTTCTGAATTCCTGAAAAGATTTTCTGAATTAATTACATTTTTGCCTTAGTTGTTTCAAAGGAGTGAGGTTAGTGTATTTAAAATRGATAAATGTAGTATAAAAATATTTTACTTTGCCCATGCTTAGTTGACCTGATACAAATGTTTATCATCCAAAAWTAKYTGGGGGCACAGGTCTCTGCTACTGTTATTTTGTGGGTCAAAAGCTGAAMAGTTTGGGAACCACTGCACTTTGGTTCCCAAAGTTGGGCTTGGGACCCAATTATGGGTCATGAAGCACCTTGGATTATCTCCAGAAACCAATTTAAAGGGTCATAAAATAATTGCTGATGTAACATTTTCCCTATAATTATTACAAAAACACAAAAATAAGTATAAATAAGTATTTACATTTGTGTACAAGCTATTTAGATTGTCAAAAAGCCTGTGTTTTTAGGGTTATTAATGAAGGTTGTGTACTCAGACCAGTAATATTTGGGGTCACAAGTTTTTGCCATGAATATTTTGTGGGTCAGAAGATAAAAAGTTTGGGAACCACTGATTTAGAGGAGCAGATTAAAAAAAAAAACGAGGACACAACACGAG